GCGCTGGTGATGACTCTCAAAAAGGATGAAACAGCTGTACAGCGCCTCAAGAGTTTTCAGCATGGCTGGCCACAGGACGAAATATCATGTGAGAGTTGTTTGCCCAATCGAATCACGATAAAACCGAACTTGAGGCCGCATATCTTTGAGGTGTTCAATAACAGGTGCTTGCCCAGGTGCTAACTTTTTTAAAGAAGCTATTCTACTTTCCCAAGTTGGTTATGATCCAATACTGCTTAAGACGGGGTCAACTGAGATATTAAGCAATACTACCACCAGATTGAAGTGCTTTCTTAGTAGCGTTTTTTAAGAACGAACGTGTCGGAAACACACAACCTTTCGTTAATTACACAACAGTTCATAATGGTAAGCATCACCTACCGGGCTGTGCATTTAAAGTGCATCCATAATCATTACCTTCCAGGACGTTCATACCAAAGAATTACAGTCAATGCGTGAACAACGGGATGCGGCTCTCGCAGAATTGGACAAAGTGAAAATGTCTTTGCGAGAAGCAGAACGAGAGGCAGCACAATACAAGCAACAAGTCGACTTACTTAACACGCGAATGGCCAAAATGTTGCCGACACTAGAGCAGCCGCATGAACCGATAGATTCTACACATACCTTGGGTACACGTATGACATGTGCCTTGATGGAATTGGAAACAATCAGGCTTGCACGTCAAGATGCCCTGCTACAGGTGGAAAAGTTGTCTGCACAGCTGGATGCCAGTAAAAAAGCGTACTATGAAGTAAGCTTTGAGCCTTTCCAAAAGCAGAGTAATAATGAAAATGTAAAAGAGAAAGCTATCACATGCGTAGGTTTGCACTTTTGTGTAGATTGCTATTCGACAATAATTACAGAAGCTTGTTTTTTAATTGGCTGCAAACGAACTTTCTACGCAGGCTGCCGAATGAACAAGTTGTAGGCGTTACCAAAGCTTTGAGCCAGAGACTCTGCTTTGTTTACATTGGGTTGGCAGGCAAATTCAACGCCAGCGCCAGCCATATGACAGAAAACCCCTAAAGGCGTAGCTGATGACATATCAACACTTGATTTACTTTTCAAATTTTCGCGTAAAAGTTGCACCAGTGTGCTTGATGGAAATAGGCAAGTGGAATCGGCCAGAAGTTGCATAAGGGTC